TGTGATCACACTTATATGAAGTTCAAGAATAGAGATATAATATAGGGGTATACATTTATAGGGGTATAAATCAGTGGTTGCTTCTGAGAAGGGAAAGGGACTGACCAAAAAGAGGCAGGGGAGAATTTTCTAGAGTGATGGAAATGATCTGTATCTCACTTGCAGGTGTGTATTGGTTTGCCAGAGTACACTGAACTGTACACTTAAGATCTGTGCACTTAAGTGGGGCGCCTGGGTGGCTCAGTCGTTAAGCGTCTGCCTTCGGCTCAGGTCATGGTCCCAGGGTCCTGGGATCGAGCCCCGCATTGAGCCCCTGCAGAGCAGGGAGCCTGCTTCTCCCTCTCCCACTCCCCCTGCTTGTGTTCCCTCTCTCGCTGTGTCTCTCTCTGTCAAATAAATAAAATCTTAAAAAAAAAAAAAAAGATCTGTGCACTTAAAAAATTTTTTTAAAAAGACCTGCATTTTTTGCTGTATATAATTATATCTCAGTGTTTAAAAATATCATTTACGTGGACATGAAGTTCCCAGAGGGATGGCAGAGGTTGAAATAGAGAGGAAGCTGGAGAGTTAGGTGCCTGCTCTTGGTGAATGTGACGGAGAATAGACCTTGACGGCAAGGGGGCGGAAGGTGGCAGGGTCCGATGCATGAGCCTCAGAGGAGAAGCTGTGGTTAGAGACTGAAAGTGGAACGTGGGGGCTGCTAATTTGTTGAAAATGTTTATAAGGACTTGGCCAGAGGAGGAGTCACCTGCATCTCACCACTCCCAGCACAGGAGGAAATCCCCGGTAAGATGGGATCAGGGTGCTGGGATTCCAGGGTTCCTTCTGTGCCTTCACCTCTTTTCCTGCTCTGAGCTCTGACCACCTTCAAGGAAGCCCATGGCGGGGTGTTAAAGAAGTTAGACCAGAGGGCGCCTGGGTGGCTCAGTCGGTTAAGCATCTGCCTTCGGCTCAGGTCATGATCCCGGGGTCCTGGGATCGAGTCCCGCATCAGGCTCCTTGCTCTGCAGGAAGCTGCTTCTCCCTCTCCTCCCCACTTGTGCTCTCTCTCACTATCTCTGTCTCTGTCTAAAAAAAAAAAAAAGAAAAACTTAAAAAAAAAAAAAAGTTGGTTTCAAAATAAATAAGTAAAGAAACTAGACCCAAGATGGGTGCACATCCACTCCACAACTTCTTCATTCGTTGCCTTTCCTCTTAAAAGTTTCTTTTGAAAAAGTCCATCCCTGGGCTGATTAGTGCAGCAGTTCCCATCCTGCTGGTTAAAGTTCCCTAGAGAGTCTCAGAGCTATTGAAAGGGTCCCTGAATCTACACGTATGCCAGGATTTATTCTAGATGGACTTAAAAGAAATCCAAGTACAATCTTTGGAATCCACAACATTTTTGGATATTGGAAATCTTGGGTAGAGACAAGAGACGGAGAGAGCAAGGTATCCTTGAGTTCAGGCGCAGCTGTAACAATGGTCATCCTAGCCCCAGACTGGGGAGGACCTGGGGCAAACCTACACTGAGCGTCCCATACAGTGAAGTCTGGAAATTGACAGATACTGTTCTCATCTCACGGATATGTGAGCAATGGAACCAGGACGCCAACTCAGGCTAACTTGACTTCCAAGCCACATTGTCCTGGGACAGGGAGCAGTGCCCTGTGGGTGTACCTTGAAAGTGTGGAGTTTTCCCTTCGGCCGGTTGCCCATCCCACCCTCACACCCCCACTCCACCGGTGGTGATCTCTACTCCCTCCTCAAACTCTGGGCTTCTCATCGTTGAGTAGAAGAGACAATTTCCTCCACATTGACTCTCTGGGGTGGACATGGGCTGTTGATCGGACGAGGCAAGGTAAGGGGACTGGGCCGAAGCTGGAATTAAGGCCCATTCGGGAAAAACCACCCAGGGGCGTCTCAGGCCTCCCCATGCTCCATGGCCAGCAGGGGGCAGCCCTTGCCTTGCCAAGGGCACCTGCGTCCCACACCCTCAGGTTAGAGGCCCAGAGGGAGCCCGGCTACTACTGGAGCATGGCTGAGTCAGTCCTCACCAGATTATGTGGTTGTGGTGTGGGTGCTTGTGTAGGTGGTTTGGAGAGGTTAAATATGTTCAGGATCGTATAACTAGTTTGTGAAGGGGCTGGCCTTTGAACCCAGGCTGACTCCAAGCCGGCATTCTTTTTTTACGATTTTATTTATTTATTCATGAGAGACAGAGAGAGGCAGAGGGAGAAGCAGGCTCCCCACTGAGCAGGGAGCCCGATGCGGGACTCGATTCCAGGACTCTGGGATCATGACCTGAGCCGAAGGCAGCCGCTTAACTCTCTGAGCCACCCAGGCGTCCTCAAGCCAGCATTCTTAACCATGAAGTTGCTGCTACTCCAAAATAAAACTCTAGATCACTGCAGGGAAGAATGGGAATTTCACAATGTATTGTGAAACGGAGCTGGAGACAGGGACCCTCGGGGAAAAAGATGCATTAACATCAAAGGAGCCAGAGAGAACTGTGCGCTGAGGGCTGGGCCCATGCCTTCCCCGGCATTGTTCAGGTGATTCTCCTCTTCTATGGGCTGTGCGGTCTCATGTAGGTGTGTAATGCATATCCAAGAATGTGTGGTATATTCTTGTACCAATCCCTGTATAACCTTGCAGTTATGAACTCAAAGTCTTTCCTTTGTGTCTGTAAGAATATTTTTCATGTAAGGGCACTTGGTAGTTTCTCAAGAAATGCTAGCTCAACAGTGAACAAAATAACAGAGTGGGTTTACCAGTGGGTGACAAGTACTTGCAGAACACAATGAGTAAAGCGGACCTCAGCGAGAGGTATATTCCTTTAATGGAGATCTGAATATGAATGAGTCCAGACCTCTCCATCCGTTGCTTTCACTCATCAGCCAAACCACCCACGTCTACGCGATCTAAGTAAAACAGGTTGCTGATTGCTATGCAAATGAAGCTTCCAAAGTCCCTAGCAACCGCCCACCGCCACCACCAATCAGCTTGCTTCTCCTAATCCCCTCTATTATAGAATTTCTAGAGCAGTCCTAGGGGTGGGCCAGCCTAGAGGGAAGGGAACAGACGGGCTGGTTCTGGGCACTGCTGAGCCAAGACGGTGGGGGGGGCGGGGGTGGGGAGTAGGTTAGCTCTGGGCCCAGGAGGGCTCCTGGAGGCGTATTCTGGGTGAAGCGTTGGTCTTCTTGAACCTCAGGAGGCAGGGGAACCACATCCTGGTCTCACCCACCCACCCTAGTGTGAGCTGCCATCTCAGCCCTCCCTTCCCCCTCAGACACTTAGGCCACTGGACCATGTGTTGTCCCCGCCTCCTAGCGACCCAGATACTGCCATTAGCAGAATCCTCTCTCCTCAAGGAGGCATGCATGCGATGCCCGAGGTCCCAGGTCCCAGGTCCTTGATAAGTGATGTGTGACTCCTGTGTGTCATAGGGCGCTCCCCACCTCCCGCTGGTGGTGACCAAAGGCCGGGCCACAAGCACTAGATCGTTCTTCCTCCACCCAGACCTCACTTCTCAGATCCCCTTTGCCAACTGGAACACCCTCTGACATGACCCGGATGCTGTTGCTCATCTTTATCATGGTCCATCCAGGTGAGAGGGCTTTCTCCCAGAACCCTGAGGGGTGTGATGCGGGAGGAGAGAGGGTGGGGGAGGCTGACATTGAGGCCTGAGGGGAGTGGCCCAGAAAGAAGAGTGGGAGTGGGTGGGGTCCTCCAGGATCCGAAGCAATGTGGACACCCCCAGTTCACAATTCCCTCCATTTCTCCTTGTTGCCCACTGGGAGGGTCACACCCCAGCTTCCGTCCCAGCGGTCCTTTCTTCTCAGCCACCATCCTAGTAAGATAAGAGTTGAAGAACCAGTATGAAGAGCTGGAAGGGAGGAAGAGGTGAAATTTTTTTTTGAAGGGGTCAATTTTAATTTGATGAACTTAATAAGCCTATTAAACACGGCTTATTATCTAGGGTCTAGATGTAATTAGGAGTTTGGGAGACCTAATTAACTCTGAGGGAAGTTTCTCAGTGAAACTGATTTTAATTAACTGAGGGACGTTAACTATCAGCCGTATCCATGAACTAAATGCAGTGTGGACTCCAGACTCACAGCTTTAGCATCAGCTAGGAACCTGGGGCAAATTCTCGGGCCCAACTCTAAACCCGATGAGTAAAAATCTCAGGGGTCGGGCCCAGGAATCTGTTTTAACAGACATTCCAGGTGATTCCGATGTGCTCTCAAGCTTGAGAACCACTGAAATAGAAGAATGGCAGGTAAATTTCATGAACTAGAGAATCTAATCGGAGATTTTACGAATTGCTTTAATTCATCCATTTGGTTGAGTTAAAGAGGGATTTCAATCAATTATTGCTATGTCTTCACCTGAAGACTTTATTAGTTAATGCTCTTTTAACAAAAAACAAAGCAGCAAGGGTGGTGTACTGTATACGGTATGCCACTGGTATGAAAATAATACCTGGAATAATATAGTTAATTATTAGTTAGCTAGGCAGCCACATTCATTAATGAGCTCCGATTTCAATGGGACAGGTTAAGTTTCAGCAAGACACTACTAGTGAATGCAGCTGGACAGTGATGGGATGGGGTAAGGATGAGAGTTGGTATAGGAAAGGATCTGAAAAACTATTTATTTATTTTTTATTTTTTTAAAGATTTTATTTCTTTATTTGACAGAGAGAGACAGCAGGAGAGGGAACACAAGCAGGGGGAGTGGCAGAGGGAGAAGCAGGCTTCCCTAGGAGCAGGGAGCCCGATGTGATGCTCCATCCCAGGACCCTGGGATCATGACGTGAGCCGAAGGCAGACGCCTAACGACTGAGCCACCCAGGCGCCCTGAAAAACTATTCGATAAACAATGTTAAGAAATGAGGCTGGTGGAGAGTAAAGGGTTTCATGAGGTAGCAAAGTGCTTGATCCTCTGGGTCCTCTGTGGGTGGGGACACCTCTGGGATACTCTACTGCAAGCTCTCTTGTCCTTTCTCTATATTGTAACCGGAGAGGTGTTTCTCTGGGTCTTCTCTTTGTCTGCCAGGATCCTGTGCTCTCTGGGTGTTCCAGCCCCCGGAGATTCGTACCCAGGAGGGCACCGCTGCCTTCTTGCCCTGCTCCTTCAATGCCAGCCGAGGGAAATTGGCCATTGGCTCTGTCACGTGGTACCGGGACAAGGTGGCCCCAGAGAAGGAAGTGAGGAATGGGACCCCGGAGTTCAGGGGCCGCCTGGCCCCTCTTCCCTCTTCCCGTTTCCTCTATGACCATCAGGCCGAGCTGCACATCTGGGACACCCAAGACTGTGATGCTGGAGTCTACGTGTGCAGGGTGGAGGTGCTGGGCCTAGGTGCTGGGACGGGGAATGGGACTCTGCTGGTGGTAGAGAAAGGTGAGATGGGAGACCCCACTCTTCCTGGAAGGTGGGAGTCTTTCCCTGAGGCCCCCTGCTCTCTGTCCCTCCCTGGGCCTGTGCCTGCTTCTTCCTTAGGTCCCCCCTTCGCCCCTTCCTTCTACCGCCCCCATGCAGGACCTCCTTGGCTAGGGGCCAGCACAGTCCTCCTCCTTCGGGCTGGATTCTATGCTTTCAGCTTTATCTGTGTGGCCATGGGCAGCAGCATCTATTACCAAGGCAAATGTAAGGAAGGGGGCTAGGGCAGTGGTGGAAGAGAGCCGGAGGAGGGGGAGACAGAGCAGTGGGAGGAGGGCTGCGGCGGCCGCCGAGCAACTCCTGTGGTCTCTCCTGCAGGCCACCGTCACCTGGGAACACACTGCCACTTCTTAGATGCCACTGATGAGTGATTCCAGACCCCAGGCATCCAAATGTCTTCAAGAGACCCCAATAAATCCTCCTCTGCCCCACCCGCTAATGCCTTCTTACGAGTCTCATGTGTTTCCTTTTCCATTACCAGGGACCCCAATATGCCCCTCTCTGGGGTCCCCCGACTCTTAACTCTCTCTTCTACCAAGCCTGGCCTGGAAAGGTCCAAGGAGTGAGCTTCCCGGTAACCGTGCCTGGAGCCCCCTCCCATCATCATCCCAGGGCTTAGCACCTCCACCTTTCTGGGGTACAGGAGGCTGAGGCGGATTCTCCTGAGAAATGGGGAGTATCAGATCTGATGAGTCCTACATGTCAACTCCCCATTCCAGCCAGGCCCACGCGTGTACTCTTTCTGGCCTTCAGGGGAACTTGGGTCCCTCAACACCCTTCTTCCCCTGAGAAATCACTACTCGACCCCAGAACGGGTGGGAAGATAAGTCGCTTAAGTTTATGGTGGCCCTGTTGAATGGGACGGAGTTAAGTTGGACTGAGAAGCCTGAGACACAGAAGGTGGCGGGACATGGTTTTTACTGGGTGGACCACAGGGTCTGCCTGGATTCAGGGAGGCATCTGGGGGAGCTCCGGTGGCTTAGTTCTTGGCAATGCAGGCATATTCGGTGCTGGGTTCCTCCTTGGCATCTTCCCAGTGGCTGAGGTCAGGCCTCTCCCTCCAGGGCACAGGCAGCAGAGATGCATAGTGGAGCTCTTGCTCTGAGAGCTGGGCCTGGGGCCAGGGAGAAGGTGCTGCTGGGAGGTCACCAGAGGAGACCCCTCCCCCGGTCCTTCCCGCAGGGTGCTGCCCACCCCCCCTGTACCTCACTGCCTCCTCAGCGCCCCTGCCCTCTGTCTCTGCCCTCCTGAGCCCCTGCTCTCCTCCCTCATTGCCTCTTCTCCCTGGGTCTCTGTTGTTCTTATGCTCCCTCTCTTTCTCTTGCCCTGCATCTCTCTCATTCTCTCTATTTCTCTCTCGTTTCCTCCTCTCTCTCCTTTCTGTCTTATTCCCTTTTCCTTTCTCTACACCATTTCTCTCTGCTCTTCTCATTCTTCTCTCTTTCTGCCTCTTTTTTCTCCGCCTCTCCGGCTCTCTCATGCCCCCCCCCCGCCCCCTCCCCTGCTTTCCCTCGCTTTTCTTGCCTCCACCCGCCTCAGCCCTCAGCCTCCTCTTGCCCCCATCACCCGCTTCCCGGCCCCGAGACTCACCCAGCTTCTCTCCAGCCTCTTCACTGGAAGAAAAGAAGAAGCTCAGCAGCCCCCCACCCCACCCCACCCCCCAGAGGGTGTTTCCTCAGTTGCTGACATCTCTGTGGTTCCCATGGCCAGAACCCCAGCCTCCCTCTTTGGACACTCTCGTCTCCTCTCTCCCACCTTCCTCTCCCAGGGCGGGTGGGAACTGACGGGCACTTCTGGGAAAGCAGTAGGAAAGGGCGTGGGTGGGGGCGACCCGCGGCACCGCTGTGGGCGACGGAGCTCACCTTTCCGATGGAGCCGACACAGACAGGCGGACACAATGACCAGAGCCAGGAGCAGGAGCCCCCCCAGCCCCAAGCTCCCGCCATATAGGTAAGGGCACAGACCTGCAGGGAAAAGGGGTAGGTATCAGGGACCCATTTCTCCCTTCGGCTCTCCCCATCCTCCTGGTTGGCCATGGGTATCTCAGCCCTGCTCTCCGACAGTTTTAGAGGCAGAAAAACATACTCAGATTCTTCACCCCAGATCGGGTTACCTCGCCTCCTAGCAGAGGGGCCCATCTCTCACCGGTTACCTCACTCGCCCCTCAGAGGCTTCCCACTGCCATCCCTGCTGTCTCTGGGCCTCCCCATAAGGTCCCTTGCCCACCCGCACCAGTTGTCCCCTGGCCAGCTACTCAAGAATGCACATACAGTGCTTTCTAACCTCTGTTCCCTGTATACCCTCGACCCTCCTTGTGCAGTGGGTTACCTTACCTTTGTTCATGCCTTACAAGCTGCCATTAGGTCAAGCACTGACGACTGACCTGGAGGTCGGGAAACCTAGCCCTGCTCTGCTAGGCTAAATGGCCTGGGCCAAGTCACGTGCCTCAAGTTCCTCATCTGTAAAGTGCGGGGCCCTCTGTTACAACTGTTCTAGGGCTGAGGAGCCCCACTGATGTGCCAATCCTGACCTGGGCACTTTCCCTTTGTCATTGCTAACCCTCACCACGTAGGGTATTATGGTGCCCGTTTCCCTGGTGAGGAATCTGAGACTTGAGTCGAGGCTCTTACAAGAAGGTTCAGCCTAGAAGTGGCAGAGCTGGCCTGGAACCCCAGAGCTCCAGAGCACACCCCTTTTCCTCTGCCTTAGGCTGGCTAGGTGGTTCATGGGGGCCTCTCCAGCACTGGGTAGTTCTAGGTTCTGGTGAGGGGCTGACGGAGGAGAAACCAGGATTTCCGGTGGTGTGTGTGTGGACCAGTGAAACACGGAGCTACCCGGCAGCTGGGGCCGCTCCCTCAGCCCAGAGCTGCTCTGGGGAGCAGGGCCCTATGTGGCTGGTGTGGGGAGCCACTTCCCACGGACAGATACTGCTGGGGCTGAAGTGGGGCATGGAGGAGCGTCTGGGCCCCATAACTTCCCCTCAGGCACTTCCTGCCCTGCAACCACTGGTTCCTGTTTGAGGGCAAAGAGGGGGGTTGCCGACTTCATGCCGCCAGAGCCAGCTGCACTGACCAGGGCCTGGAAACTGGGACCCTCCTGGGCTCAAGAGGAGTGCTGGGGTGTGTGTGTGGGTGGGTTGGGGAGCAGAAACAGGTGGAGAGGAGGACCTGTGGTCGCCATGAGGGGAAGTGGAGGCAGAAGTGGATTGTATTTAATTCTTTGGGAGCAGAGACAGAGGCTGGACAGCAGATGCCTCCAGGGCTCAGGGAACCCCAAAGTCATACTCTCTTCCGTCATCTTGGCTTCACTTCACTGCAGGGTATGACTGCCTCTCCCTGCCCCGTTTTCCCTACCAGGGCTCCTGCTCTCTCCCAGCTTATCCAGAGCCTGTGGCCTGTGGGTAGACAGACTCCAGACTGGCCGCAGCTGCCTGGGTGGAGAGGTGTTGCCACTTCAAACATTCTTGTCCCTCCTCTGGCCTTAACGTCTCCCCTAGTCTGGATGCTTCCCTAGCTTCGTCAGGAGAGGAAGTTAGGCTTTGAAGGTTAGGGTTACAACATCTTTTCTTTCAGACTCCGAGGACTGTAACTAAGCCTATGATCCCCCACATCTCCAGCCATCCTATTGATCCTGCAAGTGGTCAGTGAGTGTATACTTCCTCTAGGTACCTTCCCTGATTAGTTTTTCCCCAATTATCCCTCACACTGCATCCGCTGAGAGCTCATGATCCCAACGTGTACGTGTAGACACACACCCAGGCTCCCACATCAGAGTGGGAGCTCTGGTAAATTTGGGGTAACTTGCCTGGTGTTCTGGGGCTGTATCTGGCAGGGCACTTGACTGATTAACGAACAGAATCAGAGGCAGCTAGGCTAGACAGATGTACAGGAGTATATGAGTACTGTTGATAGTCTAGGACAGAAAGCTGGTGACAAGTTGGCGTTGGGAAAGAATGGGGGCAATCTCGGTGGACTGCCTGTAGGAGGCAGCATTCTGATGTTAGGCACACAAGGGCAGTGATCCGAGACCTTCTGGACAGAGACCTGGATGAAGGCCTCTTAGTGGCACTGAGATAGAGAGGGAGATGGGCGCTGGAAGATTGCACACCCAGTCCTTACGGAGAGTGAAGACTGGGGAGCTCATGTGGGGGCAGGAGGTAAGGAGGGTATCTGTGCCTGGGTCCATATGCATTTGCATTTCCTTCTTCAAATTCAGAAACTTTCTGGCATTTCTTCTCTCTTCCCCCATCTACAATGTTCCCCGTGTTGGACAGCAGGACAATATTCACAGTTTTGTTTTTTTCCCACACATTTTATTGTTAAAATGTTCACACAGAACAAAATTGAAATAATTTTAGAGTGAACATATCCCTACCACCTACATTCTAAAATGGACAGTTTTCTATATTTGCTTTATCACATACCTAACACTCTATCTCATTTTTTGGATAACTTTCAAAGTTGCAAACATCAGTACACATTTTACCCCTAAACCTCTGACCATGCTTATCAGTGACTCGAGTCCAGCTTTTGTTTCCCCATTTCTTTTTTGAGGGAGGCAAGATTTACATACATTAAAATGTACAAATCTGAAGTCAGTACTCGGGGTTTTTTTTTTTTTTTTTTTTTTTTTAAACTGTCTTGTGGTCAAGGCTCTGGGGCCAGACTGCCTGGGTTCAAATCCTGACTCTGCCACTCCTGTGTGGCCTTCGATAAGTTCCTTAAGCTCTCTGTGCCTCAGTTTCTTCTTAGGGTTTTTGTCAGGATTAAAGGAATTATTATATATAAAGTGTGTAGATCAGTGGCAAGCACTTGCTAAGTGCTATTTGTATAATAGCTGTATTATTATTATTATTAGTCCCTAATCACAGAGATGTCATCAAGAAGGAGACGTGATCTGAGACCACCTCCAACTTCCTTGGACCTGGTCTTTCCTCCCACTGCACTGTCTACCATACCATTTGTTGCTGCTCTGTTTTGCTTCCTCATTCATTCACTTGTCCTTTCTTCATTTATTCCTAAACATGTAGTCTGCACCTGCTAAATGGATGGGGCTCACTCTAGACAGCAAGCTCTTTGAGGGTGGGGCCGTGCCCTATTGCTCTCCCACCTACCCTCTGTGGAGCAAGGGAGGTAATGCTCATTTCCATCCCTCCTCAGTGAGTCAATAGTCAGTGGAGAGGCTGAGGCCCCTTTCAGCTGCTATTTCTGTGGACTGGCTTAACTCTGCTTCTCACCAAGCTCTGGGGGTTAGGGGTGAATGAGGGAATGGAAGGAGGAGATTTGGTCTGGTGCTGGCATAAGTTCTTCTCAGGGACCTGGATATCCATCTCTCAAGACCTCAGTTCTCGTCCTATTCCAGCCCTTGACCTCAGGGATGTGGACACAGCCCTCCTTCCCAGCACCCACCACTGGGGTGTAGAACGCAGACCGCCCTGGAAATCTGGTGTGCGGTGTTCTCCTCGCGCCGCTCTGCTGCCTGACTCTCTGTAAGCTACTGGCCCTCCCTGGGCCTCAGTTTCCCTCCCTGCTGAACCAGATCTCTAAGGCCCCCTCCAGCTCTACGCTACAAGCCTGTCACTTCACCCCAACTTCTTCCCCAGTTCAGAGAACCCGGGCATCCAGCTGCCCCACCCCAGCTCTGGGTAAACAGGAAGCTGGGTGAGGGGAGCAGGGGTGTGCGGAAAGTCCCAGCCAGGTGTGTGGGTCTATGGGGAGGGGGTGGCCCCACCCCTGAGGTATGAAAGCCCCCCTGCCCTGGTCTTGGCTCAGTCTCAATGGGGGCCCTGGGGCTAGAGGGCCGGGGTAGGAGGCCCCAGGGAAAGGGCTGCCTCCTGCTGGCTGTGGCAGGAGCCACTTCCCTGGTGACCCTGCTGCTGGCTGTGCCTATCACAGTCCTGGCTGTGCTGGCCTTGGTGCCCCAGGAGCAGGGACGAGGACTGGTGAGTAGCTGCGACCAGCCCTGCAGGGGTTGCGTGCTGCTGATGCTCACTTACCTCTAGCTACGCCTGGGGCTCTCTTGTCTCATCCTGCTCAGTTGGCTTGGCTGTCCCTGGCAGGGATGCCTCGTCTGCCTCTTTGCTGGTCCTCTTTCCACTGTTCCCGCGATGCTGTTGTGTCCTGAAAGCTCCAGGTTCCTTCCTGGTTGTCTGGCTGTCTCCTCTCCTCTTCCCAAGACATACTCAGGCCCCGGGGTCTGAGTACCTATGCCTCGCTTGCTCTCCCTCCCAGGGAGATGTGTGTTGGGGGTGGGACTGGTAGGAAAGACCCCAGGCCTGGAGCTTGGGTCTGCGTTGGGAGGGGTGGGGTTGGCATCAGCGAACACTGAACTCTGGGCACTGTGACCCCACCCACCCAGGTTACAGGGACGACTGACCCGGGGGCACGGGCCCAGGCCCAGCAGCGATTGGGTAAGAGCAGACCATCTCCCCCTCCCCTGCTCCAGCCCTTCAGGGATGCCCAGCTCCCATCCATCTGCATCCCCGGGAATCCCGCCCTGGCGCCCTGTCCTCTCAGGGGGACCATGCATGGAAGGCCGCCCTGGCCCCCAATCGTAGACTCTTCCCCCTCTTCCAGGGTCACAGGAGCTGCCAGAGGAGGAGGCAGAAACAGATTTCAGCTCCAGGCTCCCAGCCGCCCACCTCATAGGTAAGGATCTCATAGGTAGTCCAAGGGACCGGCGCTGCTGCCCACCGTTAGAGTCCCTTTGCTCTGTCACTGCAGGACTCGGTTTCCGACCTGCTTCACCACCTCTGGTCCCTAAAGTGCCCACCTTCCGCTCCTCCCGCAATCCATCTTCTTGCTTCCCTCCTGGAGCTGTCCAAACCCCGCCTGGATCTTCCCCACCGCCCCACCACCGCGCTCCGCACCCCGCACTCGGGTGCCCTTGGTCCCCTCCCCCAAATCACAGCAGAGGGGGCGCCGCGCGCCCTCGCCCCGCCCCCGGCTCGGCTCGGCTCCGGCAGGGGGTTAAGAGCCCCCCCCCCCGCCCCCGCTCACCCTCTCGGAAGTCCCGGGCCTGGATCCTTCCTCCAGGATCGTCTTCCCGAGCGCCGACAGGCCCCCGTTTCTCCGCAGGCGCTTGGACGAAGGGGCAGGGGCTAGGCTGGGAGGCGAAGAAAGAAGAGGCGTTTCTGAGGAGCGGGACGCAGTTCTCGGGCGCCGAGGGGCTGGCGCTCCCGCAGGACGGCCTCTACTACCTCTACTGTCACGTCGGCTACCGGGGCCGGGCGCCCCCTGCCGGCGGGGGCCTGCCGGACCGCTCGGTCACGCTGCGCAGCCGGCTGTACCGGGCGGGGGGCGCCTATGGGCCGGGGACGCCGGAGCTGCTGCTCGAGGGCGCAGAGACCGTCACTCCGGTCTTGGACCCGGCCCGGACGCGCGAGTACGGGCCCCTCTGGTACACGAGTGTGGGCTTCGGCGGCCTGGTGCAGCTCCGGAGGGGCGAGAGGGTGTACGTCAACATCAGTCACCCCGATATGGTGGACTACAGGAGAGGGAAGACCTTCTTCGGGGCGGTGATGGTGGGGTGAGGCGGGGATAAACGACTGCCTGGTAGGGACGTGTGACTCAGCCCAGATATTGGGGACCCAGACTCCAGGGACCCCGTGGCAGTGGGGAAAATGCAGGAGACTGTCTGGAAACTGATCGCGAGCCTGAAGAAAATAAAGAATGTAAAGCTTTAGTGCTGCCGAACAAGGGTGTCCAGGTGCTCCCATGTCTTGATTCAGGGTGGGTACGCAAGGGGTCGTTACATAGTCTCTAATTCTGGTTGCTCGAAACAATTCACACCACTTCCCATGGCCTCTGCCCTCTGAGAAGGAGATCCGCTGGTTTCCCACCCACCTCCTGTCTCTGAATGAACTTGCCCCGGCATTAGCCCAGTGGGAAGGTGGAAGAAGGGGATCCCCTCAAACCGAAAGCATCTCTAAGCCTCCTTCTTCGCAGATCCTCCGAGGCCTCACCAGACTCTACCTGCATTCTTTTCTCTTGGGTCCCTCCCGTCAGTGACAGGAATCCTGACAGGGGAAGGCCAGCCCCGTTCTGAGGAACCAGGCTGGGGAGAAGGAATAAGGCCCTGAGGGCCTAGTACTTCTTCCCTGCTGCCTGCCTGGCTGCCTGAAAGCCCCGTTAGCCACTACCCACAGTCCACTGTCCTCCAGGGAAGAACACAGAGCTCATTGGGTGTGAGGGAGGAGGCCAAAAGTTAGGGCCTGGGACACCAGGGTGAAGCTGGGGAGGAGAGGGAGAAACTCTGGGGCCCTTGGCCCTATCCAGGGTGAGATGGAAGGTCTTCACCTCTTGTTCACCCCTCTGGTCCGCTTTCCGCACGTTGGCAAGTGTGGGGGCCCCAGGGTGAGTAACAGCAGCCCCCACACCCCAAGCACTCCATGACCGACTTTCAGCTCCAGGCTGAGGGAGGCAGAGAGGGACCCAAGGCCCTATCTAGGTCACCCCAGTGGGTCACCCCACCCCTGCGGCATACCACACAATTTTCCCCTGCCCAGCAGCCTGGCAGGAAGGAAACCCCAACTTCTGAACCTGGTGGGGACTCCAACTCTCTGGGTCTTCATTTCTTTTCTTTTTTTTTTTTTTTAAGATTTTATTTATTTATTTATTTATTTATTTATTTATTTATTTATTTGACAGAGAGAGACAGCGGCGAGAGAGGGAACACGAGCAGGGGCAGAGGGAGAGGGAGAAGCAGGCTTCCCGCGGAGCAGGGAGCCCGATGTGGGGCTCGATCCCAGGACCCCGGGACCATGACCTGAGCCGAAGGCAGACCCTTAACCGACTGAGCCACTCAGGCGTCCCTGCGTCTTCATTTCTGACTCCATATTTGTGTGTGACTCTGTGTCCAGAAGAACTTTCCTGAGGAGAGAGGGTGCTTTTCTCTTTCCAGCCCATCTAGCTCATGACCCTCCCCTCATCATTCACCAAGAACATATGTGAGAGCTGGCTTGTGAGTCCTTCACTCGCATCCAATTCCTGTTTTTAAATTTTCTTTCGTCTCTTCAATTCCACTCACTGAGAGACAGAAGCAGATAGAACGGCTGGTGGCTGGACAAAGGAAGAAAGTCAGAATTCACTGAGTGCTTACTCTGCCAAGTGCTATGCTGGGCGCTCTGATGTAGCTTAGGTCTTCTCTTCTCTTGTGGCCCCATATGCGGGAGGTGGTCCTGTCTTCATGGGGAGATGAGGCTCAGTAACTGATTCAGGTTGTACAGTTAGGGCTGCTGGGGGAGCCTGGGATCAGGCAATTTGGAGCCCTGATGCCTGAAGGTCTGGAAGTCCTTTGGCTGTGATTCAGGTGCCTGAGAATGTGACCCTTCCCAGACTCTCTCTCTCAGGCTGCAACAGCAGGAACAGCAGGAAATCTCACCTGGGCACTTGAGGTGCAGGACTTCCCCATTGGAATTCCCAGAGTCGGAAATTCCCATGCCCTGAGGGAGAGGTAATTAGGTTCAGGCTCCAGTTTCCTGGGGGAGGGGCCTATTTGCCAGGGCTTTGTTATATGCAGGGTCTCCAGAGCCCCAGTAGTCCCCGGAGTGGGAACTGTGTTCAGGGATCTTTTTTTTTTTTTTTAACTTTTATTTGTATTTATTTTATGGGTTCAGGGATTTTTTTATTTTTAAGATTTATTCATCTATTTGAGAGAAAGAGTGAGAGAGAGAGAGCGCGTGCACATGCGAGTGAGCCGAGGGAGGGGCAGAGGGAGAGGGAGAGAAGCAGACTCCCAGCTGAGACTCGGGGGCTCCATCCCACCAGCCTGAGATCATGACCTGAGCCAAAATCAAGAGTCGGACGCCCAACACACTGAGCCACCCAGGTGCCCTAGGTTCAGGCTTGTAGAGAGAGGACTTTAGGGAGTGGCCTCCCACCCCCAAGGAGAGGAAGATGCAGAATTAATTCCAAGAAAGAGACGGTGTTTCTTTTTTAAGCACGTTTTATTTCTCGCCACTGACCAGTAGGGCGGTTACAGACATAACTCCCCTGGGGAGCAGAGGTTCAGCGATGTAGCGACAGTCAGTCACCAAATCAGCATTATTTAGATAATTGGATCAGATAAATATTTTTGAAAAACATAAGCAAAAGGAGGCACAGAGGCCAGGAGGCCAGGTGGGAACAGCCTTAGAGTTCAGCTCCGTTTTCACAGAAAACATGTCTGAGCCAAGGCAGCCCCTACATTCGGTCTCCCAGGACACCCCAACCTCCCAAATAAATACATTCATCAGTAAATAAATAAATAATAAATAAATAATAAATAATCACAAGTGCAAACATAAATAGAGAGACCTGGCCCCATGTGGGAGGGGCTGGGCTTTCCTTCTCAGGAAGAGTCTGGAAACATTTAAAGAAAGGGACGCCTGAGGTCCACTCATGTCAGGTTCTAGGTGAGATCTTCTCAAGGGACGTTCTGAAGTGTTCCAGCCAGAACTAAAGGTTCCCTGATCCCCACATTCCAAGTGTTCCAGGTTGCATTGAGGGATCCAAACCTGAGGTCTCCAGTGAGCGCTGGAAGCCCCAGTTTGCATTCTTGGTAGGGGCCAATGCTCCAGTGTCCTGGTCACACATCCCTGGATCTTAGGTTTGTAAGTGTTGTTGTTTAAAGTTCTAAGCTTGGGGCCCAGCCCTGAGCCCCTAATTCTCTTTCTAAGCCAGAAGGGGGTGGGGGGGGGTCAGAGGGAGTAGATAATAAAAGGGGTTGAGGTGGGCAAGGATGGACGTCCCGCGCCCTCACAGGGCAATGATTCCAAAGTAGACCTGCCCGGACTCGGCAAAGTCGAGATAGTCAGGCAGGTTGATCTCAGCGCTGAGTCGATCACCCTTCTCCAGTTGGAAGACCCCTCCCAGGTAGATGGGCTCGTACCAGGGCTTGGCCTCAGTCCCCTCTGGGGTCTCCCTTTGGCAAGGGCTCTTGATGGCAGAGAGGAGGTTGACCTTGGTCTGGTAGGAGACGGCGAAGCGGCTGATGGTGTGGGTGAGGAGCACATGGGTGGAAGGGCATCCTTGGCCCTTGAAGAGGACCTGGGAGTAGATGAGGTACAGCCCGTCTGATGGCACTATTAGCTGGTTGTCTGTCAGCTCCACACCATTGGCCAGGAGGGCATTGGCACGCCGGTTCAGCCACTGGAGTTGCCCCTCAGCTTCGGGGTTCGCTGGAGGGAAGGGGAGAAGGAGGGAGCGGTGAGTCAGTGCGACCCTGTCAGTTCCACTCTCCACATCCTGGCCCTCAAGTTCTGCACACCCCTCCACATCCGGTTCCTGTCCCCTCTGTCGGTCTTCCCACCTCCCATCTGGCCACAAGCTTCTGAGTATCCCCCTCAAGGCCGGCGAGTCCCTCTCATACCATCTCCAAGGTCTGCCCACCCTCAGCCTGAGTTCAGCCCCCAAATCCTATCCCTCCACATCCTATCTGCTTCACTGCCCGCCGGCTGAGTCCTCAGAGCTCTTACCTACAACATGAGCTACAGGCTTGTCACTTGGAGTTCGAGAAGATGATTCTGAGGAGGAAAGAAGAAAGAAAACGGTGAGACCCTTAAGCTTCCTGGGAGAGATCCGCTCCTTTGACCTCCGTGCCTCCTCCCCTCCAACCAAAACCCTGAATTTCCCCCACTGCTGCTATCCCGGGACCAACCCCCACCGCCACCCAAGCGCAGAATTAGGGGAGAGGCTTTTGGAGACACTTACTGACTGTCTGGGCCAGAGGGTTGATTAGTTGGAGGCCATCTGGGAGCTGTTGGAGAGAAGAAGGAGATTTAGCATCAGAGCAAGTCACCCCTAAATGAGAAACAGCCAGGCTGCTTCTGTAGCTCGTACTCTAGTTTTCTCTCACCATTCAGTCCTTGCACAACACTTTCACTGAGTGTCCTCCACGAGTAGACACCCTATCTTCATCTTTCCTTATCTCTTCCCTCACATCTCTCCTTATCTCTCTCATATCGTCCACATCTTTCTGTCTCACCATCTTTATTCATATCACTTGTTCTGTTCCCATCCCTCTCCCCACATCTCTCCCCACATTTCTCCACATGTCTGCGGGCTCGTTCGTTCATTCGAGAAGCATTCAGTGAGCTCCCTCCCTCTCTCTCTTTCCCCATCTCTCTCCATGGCCCTTTCTGCCTCCCCAGCTTTCTCCACGTTTTCTCTCTCACCGGTCCCCATCAGCACACCTCTTTCCCCGACCCCCTGAGAATGAGCCGAGCCTGCTGGGGCGCTCACCTCTTCCCTCTGGGGGCCGATCACTCCGAAGTGCAGCAGGCAGAAGAGCGTGGTGGCCCCTGCAACCAGGAGGAAGGAGAAGAGGCTGAGGCACAAGCACCTTCTGGAGCCCTGGGGGCCCCCTGCCTTCTCGGGGAGTGCCTCCTCGGCCAGCTCCACGTCCCGGATCATGCTTTCAGTGCTCATGGCGTTCTTCCCAGCGGGGCTCGGTCCAGTTGGGAGATGGTAGAGCCCTGGGGCAGTGGGTATTAGAGGGAGAGAATCGCCTGGCTGCTTGTCTGGGGGTGTGTCGTCTGAGAGGTTATTTGCAGGGGGTCTGGAGTTGCTTCTCTCTCTCCTGGCCGGTGCCCTGGTGTCCTCGCTGAGGGAGCTTCTGCTGGCTGGGTGTGCAAACAGCTGCATTTATATACCCGTGGGGCGAGAAGAGGGCGGGGAAAGGCTCTCATTCAACCAGCGGAAAACTTCCTTGGTGGAGAAACCCATGAGCTCATCTGGAGGAAGCGGTAGTGGGCCCTACACCTTCTGTCTCGGTTTCTTCTCCATCGCGGGGGCGGGGGTTTGGAAAGTTGGGGACACCCAGGCATCAAGGATACTTCCTACCCGCCCCACTCGGATGCTGAGGGGGGCTTGCTGGGCCAGTCACTGCGGTGTATGTAGGACCCTGGAGGCTGGACCCGAGTTTCCCTCTGCCCCCAATTCCCATTCCCTCCTTTTTTTTTTTTTTTTTGAGGCTCAGGTCTGTGGTCTGTTCCTCTGATTTCCAGACTGGACTTAGGTAGGTGTAGAGCTAGACGTGGGAGGGGCTTCAGAAAGCCGACACCTTGATGGGGAGAAAACGTGGGGGGAAAGCTCTGCTGGGTCCTGAGACATGTGTTTGGGTCCCTGGGGGAAAAAGGAGCTTGAGAGGGGCGCCTGGGTGGCTCAGCTGTTAAGTGTCTGCTTTCAGCTTAGGTCATGATCCCGTGGTCCTGGGATCGAGCCCCGCATCCGGCTCCCTGCTCCACGGGAAGCCTGCTTCCCCCTCTCCCACTACCCCCTGCTTGTGTTCCCTCTCTCGCTGTGTCTCTCTCTGTCAAATAAATAAATAAAATCTTTAAAAAAAAAAAAAAAAAGGAGCTTGAGAGAAGGGAGCTTGAGGCGGGGGATGTGGATGGGGTCTCTGAAAGGGCTGGGGAGGGGGCGGTAAATGGCGGGGACACGCTTGGGACAGCCCCAGTGGGAGCGAAAGCAACCCTGGGAATTCACGAACCCCATGAGGGCAGGCCTTCTCCTTTCATTCTGACCAGGGACTCAGCAGTGCTGGTTTCAATCTTGGCTTCCAAGGGAATCTGAGGCCCTGAGTTTTGCATGAAGGCCCCATCTGTCAGAGCCCCTGGGTGTAGCCATGTATCCCAAAGACCTCTAGTGCCCTCCGGATTTCTGGAGATAGCCCTAGCCCTCAGAGCCCCTCTGTGTGACCATGTCTCCTGAAACGTCTCCTGTATTCCCCATCCCCCCAGCCTTGGGGGTCTCCCACTCCATTCTTCCAGAGGATCCCCATGTCCACCCCCATAGTCCTGAACACCCTTTGGTGTGGTCACTTCTCCCCAGAGGACCCCTGTAACCCCCATTCCCCAGAGCCTCTCTACACGTGGCCATATCTGCCAGTGGTGCCCTGACTTCCACTCCTCCAGACCTTGGGCCCCCATTTTACCTTTTTCTTCCCAGCTTATCCTTTGGTTTCCCTGCCATGGTCGGGCTGCCTCACCCCTGTGATTCCACCACATCTCCCCAGAGCTCCTAAGGCCCCTTCGTCTCCTTGTGGCCCACAGTTCCTGTCTCTTCTGAGGCCCTGTCCTCCTTCCATTTCTGGGAGACCTGGGAAATTCTCCCCTCCCAGACAGACAGACATAGACAGTATTTCAGAGAAAAGAGGTTTATTGGGCTTCATCGAAGGTGCAGATGTCTCCTCATGGGGTGTTTAGTCAAGCAGTGGTTGGACCTGAAGAGTTTTTTGCTTCCTTCTAGAGCTCCCCAGTGTCTCAGCCCCACTTGTCTTCTCTTTCACTGTGTTATCCTTATGCCAAATGTTCTCTTGCTCTTCATCTCTTAGGCATATTTCTCTCTCTTCCGGTGGCCCTCTGTTATTCCCTTCCCTCCAATCTCCATAAATAAATAATTTAAGTTTTCCCCTGCATAAATAATTCCCCCTCCCCTGCCTCTCTGCCGTCCTCCCAAGCTTCCCCCGGCGTCTGACCCCTCCATGTCCAGGGCTAGGTCCTCCTTCGACTGGCAGGACAGAGGAAGAGCTTTGGGCAGGAATTTCTAGGCAGACTTGAAATCCTCAGCCTAGCATTGGGGTTTGCTGAAAGGAGGTATGGTCCCCTGGGGTGCCCAGAATTCCTTCTTTGGAAGCGCCAGGTAACGCGAGCAGGGGAGACTTGAGGCTATTGGAAGGATCAAAAGAGAGGCGCGGTGACCCTTGAAGTGGTCGGAATGGAGGCAAAATGGGGAGGAGATCTTGAAATCAATTATTTTTTTTTTTCTGGATTTTTCTACAGAGCAAAGGCTCCAAAGAAGACACTACTGGGGCTGAGGAGTAGGTGGGAGACGCCATCTGTGTGAGTGGAGAGCTGATCTCCCTGGGTGAGCAGGAACACAGCTCCCTGGTACACGGAGCGCACCCAAGGTCCCTGTGGCCCTGGGCACACGGACTTCTGAGCACTGAGGAGAGGCACGTGGAAAGGGTACTGGGAGGAGAAGAGCTGGACCTCATGGGCCAGGTAGAGAGGGGTGGGGGTGGCCTTGGGAAAGCAGCCTTCCCCAGAGAAGACCACCTGGGAGTAGACAAAGTAGAGGCCACTGGTGGGGACCAGGAGGGAATTGTTGCTCAAAGAGAAGCCATGGCGGAGGAAGGCACGATCCGTGTTTGCTCTCCAGCGCAGTGAGTTCTGGGTGCTGGGGTCTCCTAGGAAGAGCCAGAAGGGATGCGAGAGGTTGAGAACCTGGGGGTCAGCACTCTTAATCCCTGAGGATGTAGGTGCTGGGCCGAGTTCCTGGGGGATGGCTGAGAGGACAGACGGGAGTGGGGTACCTCTGTTCTGGGGGATGGGGGAGCTGGGAGGGAGGTGCAATAGATGCTTGGTCCCTTGAAGGGGGCATAGGAGGAGAGCTGGGGGCGACATGTCCGGGCGGCCAGGTGATGTTTACCAATAAGATGAGCAGCAGGTTTGAGGGTGCCTGGTGCGAAGTGCTTCTGAGGGTGCTGGTAGGCAGTCCGGGGGGCTGAGGGTGAGCTGCCCACACCAGGAAGCCCCTAGGGGACAAGAGGGTGGAGCGTGGCTCTAGGGCCCAAAGTTTGGCGGGGCCACCCCTGCAGCCCCCATTCTCCTGCTGCCTCACCTGGGCCTCAGGCGGCAGGGCCAGCAGCAGCCCCAGAAGGAGGAGGAGGGGGGCGCTGCACACCCTCAGGAGGTAGAGCCGTCCAGGTGGTGTCATGGGGAGAACCTGCGGGGAGAGAGACAGTGAGCGGGGCGGGGCCCGGGGCGGTGACGGGCCTCCTGCCCGCGGAGACAGCCACGGCAGAGCCAGGGCCACAGAGGAGAGAAGGGGACAAGGTGCCGGCCGGAAAACCCCAATGTGAGCAGGGGGGCCACAGAAAGAGAAACAGACACGGGAAGGGAACAGAGAGGGATCGTGGCAGAAACAGAGAACGTGTGACAGAGACAGAGAGAACAAAGATCGGCTGATGAAGACTCCGAGAGAGGGGAACAAACCGCTCGGAACCCACCGGGGCCCGGCCCCAGGCAGGCGGCACGGGAGGGGCCGCGGCGCGGGCGGAGGGGCGGGGTGCCCAGGGGAGTCCAGCGCCGGGCAGCCCGAGGAGGAGACGGGCCGGGAGAGTCTCACCTGCTATGCGGGGCCCCTGGGCCTGGACGCCTGGGTCCCTTTATAGAGGAAGCGGCGGTGGCAGCGTGGCGGCGTGGCAGGCGGCGGGCGGGTTCTAGGCCCCGGGCTGGGCCCCGGGGAAGCCCCCAGGGCTGAGAAGATGCCGCCGTTTCAGTCGAAGGCAGGAAAGGCTGAGGCCCAGGAGTGAACCACAGACTGGGGGCTCAGACGACTGAGTTCTGGGAAAGGGAGCGGGGTCAGGGGAACCGTGGGCTGGGAGGGCCAGGGAGCGGGGTCAGGCTTAGGAGTTCCAGAGAAGGGACAGTCAATTCGGGGAGGAGGGCGGGGGGAGCAGCTGGGGCGTGGGCTGGAGGCCCGGTTCCCTGAAGAGCGATTATATATAACACCTCTGCACCCTTGGTTGATTACAGGCTACTCTCTGTGCCCATTTCCTCCTCTTCTACCCCCATCTTTGTCCCAAATGGTTCAAGTCACCCTCGTCCCAGTATGTGTACTTTCCTGGTCGTCTGGCAGGTTTTCTATCAAGAAGTTGCATTATATACCCCTTTGCCCTGGACATTCTGGTTTATGCTTGTCGTCCTGGTGAAAATGTTCATGGATCTCCCTTTTGTTCCCACAAGTGTCCTGGATGGGAAGATAAATGTCATGGTTCCCCTACTGAGAGATGTTGCCATGCATTCATGTAGGCTGAGGTCTCATCTCACTCCTGAAGGATGTCCTCGGGTGGCCTCCGCGGATCAGATTTATTATTTTTTTAAAGATTTTATTTATTTATTTGTTTATTTGGGGGGAGGGGCAGGAGAGGGAGAGGGAGAATTCCAAGCAGACTCCCCGCTGAGCAGGGAGCCCGATGTGGGACTCGATCCCAGGACCCCGGGGTCATGACCTGAGCCCAAGGCAGACGCTTAACTGACTGAGCCACCTAGGCACCCCAGGTCAGATTTATATAACCCCAAACAAACACATACTCTGGGATTGAGGAACGTAGCAATTTCCAAAGCTCTCTACAGGGAAGGCCACACAGGAGGAGCTTGAGGGTGGTGAGCTAGGGTAGGGTGGGGACAACCAAAGGGCTTATCTGGAAGCTGCAATTGCAGAGCCCGGATACTGTTTAAGATTTCCCCCTTTCAACTTAGGTACAGTAAGGTGCACGTCTCTTAAGTTTACAGCCTGGTGACCTTTTCCATCTGTTTATAGCCATGTAGCCACCCCTCAGTTCAACATATTTTCAGGTCCCCAGAGGGTTCTCTCATGCCCCTCTCCCAGTTGATACCCTCCAAAGATAACCAACCACTTTCTGACCTCTATCACCATAGATTAGTTTTTCCTGCTTTTGAATGTCATATAAATGAAGTCACACAGAATGTACTGTTTGGGTTTGGCTTCTTTCACTCGACATGATGTTTCTGAGATTCATCCATGTGGTTGCATTTATCAGTATTTTTTTTTTATTATGATGTAAGTTTATTGTGTGAATATACTCTCTTATTTACCCATTCTTCTGTTGATAGACATTTGGTTTGTTTCTAGTTTTTGGCTACTATGAAAGATGTTGGTATGAACATTCTTAAAAATGAGCCAGTTTTTACTTAATTTGTAAGTTAAAAAAAAAGGTTTCTAAAGATGATTTTATCCATGTTTCGGAAGATTGAGAAAATTGGCCATCTCAAATCTCATGATTATTTTTATTGATGTTGGTATGCTTTCATTTTGGGGGTTTTGAATGGCTAAAGCCCTTCCCTCCCCACCCCCCCCCACCCCCCACCACCGTGGCATTGGGCTGTTCTCTGGAAAAACATTTCTGAGTGGTCTTGGGATCCTGTGGCACATAAGTAACATTCAGGGTGTGTATGAGCCATTTCTCCTGCTTTCCTCCCCCTTCCTAAGGCCCTTTGCCTTTCATGTCTTCCTAGGCCGATAAGACTACTGTTTCTTTTCATTCTCCTTCCACCTCTTTAGCTTTCTATTTCACAAACGTTTATTGAGCACCTTGTACAAGGCATTGAGGATACAGATGTGAAAGACAGTTCCCATGCCCTCCGGGAACTCAAAAACCAGCGTGGAAGACAGGAAAGTTAGTAGATAATTAGAATAAGTGTGACGGTGGGCTTATGGCCGTCCATAGAAAAGTCATTGAACTTGGCCTGGGAGAGGGGTGTCAGGCATTAAGTGTTGAGAGAGAGCCTGAGCAGGGCGGGACGGCGAGGGAGAGAGAGAGAGAGTCTTTTTTTTTTTTTTTAAAGATTTTATTTATTTATTTGAGAGAGAGAGAGAATGAGAGATAGAAAGCATGAGAGGGAAGAGGGTCAGAGGGAGAAGCAGACTCCCTGCTGAGCAGGAAGCCCCATGCGGGACTCGATCCCGGGACTCCAGGATCATGACCTGAGCCGAAGGCAGTCGCTTAACCAACTGAGCCACCCAGGCACCCGAGAGAGAGAGTCTTAAACAAGCTCCATGCCCACGGCAGAGCCCAATGTGGGGCTTGACCTCAGGACCCTGAAATCATGACCAGAACCAAAATCGATAGGTGCTTAACCGACTGAGCCACCCAGGCAGCCCTTCACTAGCACTTCAGAATCACTTGGTTGTGTGTGGGGCGCCTGGGTGGCTCAGTCATTAAGTGTCTGCCTTCGGCTCAGGTCATGATCCCAGGGTCCTGCAATAGAGCCCCGCATCAGGCTCCCTGCTCGGCGGGAAGCCTGCTGCTCCCTCTCCCACTCCCCCTGCTTGTGTTCCCTCTCTCGCTGAGTCTCTCTCTGTCAAATAAATAAATAAAATATTAAAAAAAAAAAAGACAACCTTGAAAAACTTGGATTTGGGTAAACTCAATGGTCTCATTCTTGGGGCTTTCTCCTAGGTTGCCACACATGGCAGGAGAGTCATGTCATTAGAAGAGGCCTTCTGTTCCTCCTGGCCATCTAACCTGAGAGAGCCCTCAGTAGTTCTCAATCTTTCTTTCTTGATTCCCTGTTATACTCTTGCAGGGGATGTTCTAAATCTCTGTGCCTCTTACACCTCAACTTTACCCCTTTACTCTCAGTTGGTGAAGCTGTCCTGTATTTCATTGAACTTAAGGCCATCTGAGCTGATCTCTTCACTTCCTTCTTTTTCTTCACTTTATTTACAGTTTGGGTACAAATAGAAGGAGCAGAGATGAGGCTTGGGAGGTAAGCTGAGAACACATTCTGAAGGATTTATTTATTTTTTAAAGATTTTATTTATTTATTTGACAGAGAGAGAGAGAGAGAGAGCACAAGCAGGGGGAGTGGCAGGCAGAGGGAGAAGCAGGCTCTTCACTGAGCAGGGAGCCTGATGCAGGGCTCAATCCCAGGACCCCGGGATCATGACCTGAGCGCCCCCATTCTGAAGGGTTTAAAACCAAGAAAAGAAGTTTGGATTTCATTCTAATTATGATGAGGAGTCACCAAAATTTTTAAGCGAGAGAGGGACTCATGCAGATTGGTACATCAGAAAAATGAGTCTGGGAGCTGCATGAAGAATGGTTTGGGGTATGGGACTTGAGGGGCTGGAGGGAAAAGCAGAAGGCGGAGACCAGTTAGGAAAGTTGTGCAATAACCATAAGGAGATGACAAGAGCTTATATTTACATGGAGGCAGCAGCAGGAGGATGGAAAGGACGAGAGAGTTTCTAGGCAAAATCTACAGGGGTGGGGCTGAGCAGACGTGATGGAGGAAGAGTAGCCACCGATGCCTCCTTTAAATATCTTGGTCTAGGGGCACCTGGGTGGCTCAGTCAATTAAGCATCCAACTCTTTCGGCGCAGGTCATGATCTCAGGGTTGTGTTATTGAGCCCCAAGCCCCGTGTTGGGCTCTACGCTCAGTGGGGAGTCTGCTTGAGATTCTCTCTCTGTCCCTCCCACAAGCTCTTGCATGTGCTCTCTCTCTCTAATAAATGAATAAATCTTTTTTTATTTCATTTATTTATTGGAGAGAGAGAGAGAGATCATGAGCAGGGGAGGGGTAGAGGGAGAAGCAGACTCCTCGCCAAGCAGGGAGCCTGATGGAGGGCTCCATCCCAGGACCCTGGGATCATGACCTGAGCTGAAGGCAGATGCTTAACTGACTGAAGCCACCCAGGTGCCCCTAAATGAATAAATCTTTAAAAAAATATCTTGGCCTATAGCTTGGCTTCTTCTTATTCTTTTAACCTACGGTCTCTTATGTCACTGTTGGTTTCCCTCTTGGTCCCTGCTCCTTTTCTTTTCTCTGTGTCTCTCTTTCTCTGGGGTTCCTTTTCCTTCCTGTTGTCTCTTTCTGCCTCTCTAATGGTAGGAGCTGATGGACTAAGCGAACTCAGTTATATTAAAATATAAAACAGTGTTGCAATTAACGATGAGAAACCAAGAAAGGGAGAAACTTAGGTCAGAGGAAGACAGGCCATTGAGGAACAAAAAGGGGAAGGTGAGAAAGAGTGACAGGGAGACATGAGAGACAGAGAGGAAGGAAGGGCAAGAACTGGGCTGAGGCTCAGTGTCACAGGCGTTTGTGATGTGCTGAAGGACGCTCCTTGAGATGGGCCAATCTTGGTTTCAATCTCAGTTTCGGAGGTTGTGTGAAATTCAGTTTCTTTCTTGGAGAGGCCAGCAGTTGGTTTGGGGCTTTCCCTGGGTGGGAGGGGTGATGACTAGAGTCTTGTGCCCCAAACTCAGGGAAATACAGTCTCTACAGTGGGCTTTGTGGAGAAACTAGTGAAATCTCTGAGGCCTCTAAATGAGATTGAAATGACATTACCTTCAAACTTGAACTTAGCCTCAAAACCTATATTGCGATTTAATACTGACTTTGACCCTAACTCAAATTTAACCTCAACCCAAATCGTAACTCAAACTACCCAACCCTAACCTCAACTCTAAACACATTCCAATAAATAAACCTGAAAATAAACTTATCCTCTAAACTAAACCAATCTTGTTTCCTACAGCTAATTTTGAAATCAACTCATCCCCACCCCCGACTCTATAGTTAAACCTGACTCTAAAGGTAAGTCCGATCTAAGCCACAAATCTAAAGATGAGCTTTCTCCTGTTTTATCCCCTTATTCATCCATGTCTTCGTTTAAGAAGGTTTTTTTTTTTTTTGCCCCCATTTAAGTTTTTATTGGGTGCCTACTATGTGCTGGGCACTGTTCTAGGCAATAGGGATATACAGGCAAACAAATCAGACATCCTCGTAAGGCAAGGCAGAAAGGAAATACACAGAAGAAGTCAGTAAGTAGTGCTATGA